TTGGCCTCTGCACAGGCCTCCTCCTAACATCCAGAGGGAGACTGAATGATGTCGTGTGCTCATTTTGTGGAAGTGGATGTGCTGCTGTGTTTTGTGTCTTAACTAGAGTTTGACAAATTGTACGGGCTTCAGACCCCATAAAACAGGTCTATTCCATACAACAAGGAATAGGCATTACAGAGTAGAACACCCACCCAGACTGCCTGTAGCTAGAGCATCTCACATACCAGGAAGAGGAGCACATTTTGGCCCAAGAGAGCCTGCCTTGGAATCTATGGATTCATAGCGATCTACAGAATGCCTATAGTGCCTTCACCAGGATGTTTGAAGTCCCATAAAACTAAGTAATAAGCATTCCTTGGACAGGGCTTTTCGGTTTGAAATAACCATGAAAGTCATCCTATTGTCTAAAGTCACTGCTGCTGTTATGGGCAATAGCATTTAGAAACAAAATAAGCCAAAGAGGTGAGTTTTTGATAGTTCTGTTGATCAGAAATGACCAAAAGAGAGCTTGAGAAGGTTGCCACTAGCAGGACATTATTGGCACCGAGATGCCCCTGAGAGCAGGACCTAGGGAGTCTCCCAGCCCCTCCAGAACAAGACTGTCCTCAAATTCCTAGAAGGTCCCTGCAGAACAGTTAGAATCGCTGATTTAATATGCAGCTGATGCTTGCATTCCAGATCCTCCTCTCATAAGACTTGTGACACAAGACAATTCATTAAGGCCTCAGTTTCCCCATTTGTAACAGACAACTTAAATCGCGCACCCCATGGAAAGGTTATGATGGCGAAGTATGATCATGTGCGCATCTGGCAAACCCCTGAGGACTGTTTGTCAAAACATTGTTAAACCTCTCTCCTACAACAAAGCTATTTCCGTGTGGTCTCCTTCGCTGGCTGCATACATTTGTGCTTAACTTGGAGCTATGTAAACTGTGCTTCGTGGATATGAATTATACTGTCTGATAATTCATGTTAACACATTTAATAATGTTTTGTAAAAGCACAAGATAAAAACACCCCTCCAGGTACTTGCAACAAGAGGAAATTGAAGAGTGTGGAGGAGATTATTTGTGCAGTGACGGCTCTGCGTGACAGAGCCCCTGTGTCACCTGGAACACACAGCGGTACTCCCATGAGCCATGCTCCGGGACGCTGGGAAAATCACTGGCTGCTTGAAGAGGATACTAATGGTGCATGCAGACATGTAAATCACTGGAATGAGAGGATTGAGATGCTGCGGGATTCTAACAAAGCTGTCAGATCGCAGGGCTTTTAAAACTGTTTATCCAAATGAAGTGCACAAGATGTCAGCCTAAAAATGCAAAATTATAAATAAGACACTTCGAAACATCGATTTATATCCATTACTATAAATGAATCACCTTATTCCAAGATTGAACATATCTGCTCTCAGCTGATTAGCTATTAGAGGTAGTAGGAAGGCATTTTGAAAGGCATCAAAGCATTTAAAAACTGAGCAACCTAAATGAAATCCACATGTCATTGATGTTTTCAGTATCATCTGAGATCACTTTGCTTTTACTGAAGCCAGCATTTACAAAACATGGCTAAAATCGCATAATGAAGAATATCTATACATTGTGGTGATGTCGATTTCCAGTTTCAAATATCTGACATTATACTAGAATTTCACACAAGATATTCCCTTGGAGACAAGGCAGGTATATAACTACCTCCTGTGCTATATTTGTAAATTCCTATGAGACTATAATTACTTTAAAATAAAGAGTTTAAAAATCTCAGCCTTGGGTTTATACAATTGAATTTTAAATAACATTTCACCTGAACAGAAAGTTCTAATCCAATTCAAAAGCCAGTTCTTTACAGAAGGGGTTCTAGAGAGATCAAGCCTCTTCTTCCCCCACATTCTGTCCTTCAGACCAAGGCTAAGGTCACAACCAAGGCCCCACGGCCACTGATGATGAGGGCTGAGTTCTGATTCTCTTCAGAAAAGCACAGCTATCCACCAATCCAATGTTCAGAGTTTTTATTTAGTTCTGGACACTGAGACTAAAAGTTTAGCTAAACAACTACTCTGGTCCTCTCCTCCATGAAACAACTGCAAAGGAGGAAGTGAGAAAAGGTCTTCCTTTGGGGCTGCTTTTCTAGATGAGTGGAGGAGCAAAGAGGACAGACAGATCCCTGCATTCAGTGGCAAAGACGCAGACCCTCAGCAGCTGGATGACAGAGCTTCTCCCAGTGCCAAAGCCCAGAGTGTGGCAGCCATCAGCAACTGCTGTTTTTGCTGTCAGTGAGTTACTGCAATAGCTCCCATATGTGAGGTGCAGGTGGGCATGAACTCAGCCACTATCACGTTTTCTGCAGTTGCTGCAAATCGAGGCATTGTAACCTGACAGCAAGAATTAGCCTGTGGGACGTTGGCTCTTCACCACGCTCTCTGCACTGCGTTTCTGTAAGAAGCTCGCAGAACATTTTCCACATGGTACCCTTTTCTGTGGCTGCTTTCCCTGCTGTATATATGACTGGCAGATACAGCTCATGCCTTTCAATTGGTGGTTGCTCCTTGCTTTGTAATAAAGACTGCTGCTTTCTGCTTGGTTAGGCTCCTGATCTGGTGTTATTCCCACAGGCTGTTGGCATCCCCTGGTGAAAGCCCACATTTCCTGTATCCTTCCTAGTTATTTCTGTTCCAAATTCACAGCTATATATGTGCTAAAGTCATTTATATAGAGACAGGTTGCTCTTTTACTAGCATGGAAAACCATGCTGGAAGGACAGGGTCATTTTGCTAAGATTCAGTAACTGTTGTCTGCCTGTTGGAGTTCAGAACTCTGCAGTATCTCTGCAGACACATTCTTAGGGCAGTGTTTCCCAAACAGATTCTCCCAACACCCCAATGAGGTAAACAGACATATTAATTCTCACCAGAATGTGGTTGAGTGATTATAAACATGCTGCATTCATCACTCTACCCTCACTGGGACAAAATACTCAACATCCACAACTTAAAGGAGTGGTTTGTTCTAAGGATTCAGTGGGTTCAGTCCATATATGATAGCTGATGTCAAGACAGAAATGGCACAGTAAGGGGTAAACTTTACTCAACCTGTGACAGACAGGAAGCAGAAAGGAGGGAAGAACTGAGGAGAAGAATATAGGCCAGTCCTCAGATGAGTATATCACCACTCCATGATCCAATCACCTCCCTAAAGCCAACTGCTGAATGGAGGAGTCTTTCGAGGGACAGTCTATACCTAAACCATTACACTTGCTCTCTGTGGTTGTCTAGGTATTCTTAATCAACTTTTCTACTTCCCATGGAACTCATCTCATGTACTAGCTGAGTCTTGCGTAGTACACCATTTTAATCAATAAGATGCTTCCTGTAATTCCTCTAGTGGCAATGACTTGTTCCACACTAATGTACAACCCTGTAGTAGTGTGACAGGAAGACTCAGGCTTGGGAAGAGAGGTTAGTGGCACAGTCTTCTAAATCATGGATCTCATGTGTGAAGCCTGCATTATTGAATGTTAGCAAGAAGCAAAGATTTACACACTTCATCAGTAAAACACTTTAACAACAGTGGGACGGCACACACAGGTGAACCAACGCAATATATTTCAGCAGATGTTTCTTGGCCATCAGAGTTCCCAGTGGTCACCAGAAGCTGTAGTCACACACACACACACACACACACACCACCACCACCACCACCACCACCACCACCACAAAGTAGCATCTTACCAGCTCTAAAAAGCTCTCCTCTTGACTCACCAATGTCTTTTATATTGGAGGTATGTATCCCCACTTAAAAGAAAGATTCTCTGCCATCTACATGGTGACTATGTGAGTTTGTTCTGCCACCTCTGTGTCCACCAAGTTCTCAGAACTACACACTCAGCCCTTCATGTATTTTTACAAAGCTAAGAAAAGGAATCTGGCAACAGTCACCCTTTGCCTCCCTCAATGATGCCTGGGCTAAGGAACTCAGATTAAAACAGAATATTTAGAAGCTATGGTGCAGGATAGATGAATAATTCCACAGAAGTAAAACACTAGGTCGAGAGCGTAGAGATGAATTCTACAGAGAAATGTCAATCTGAACTCCAAGGCCACCAGGAAGAAAATGCCTCTGTTCCATTGCCACCTTGCAGCCACTCTTTCTCTCTAGTCCCTTCCTCTTTCCCTTCCCACTCCCATTTATTGAAGATGCATACAAGTAAATCTCAACAAAAGCTTAATAGAATTTCCTTCATAAGTAGAATTCTTTAAAAGATGATCTTCCGCTCTCTTGAGCAGTGTAGCAGAACAGGCAGGGTTGGTCCTGCTGGAGCCTTTGACTGTTTTCCTTGAGAAAAGCCCCAAGTCTCAGAGTAGCTTTGTTCCCAGCCCAGGCAGGGGTTCATGAATTAGTTCTCTTCCTGCTTTTCTCAGCCTCCCCTGCAGTCAGGCACGGCCACAGGACCCAGGCGCATCCAGTGACCCATCTGCTGACGCAGCAGGTGGGGGGCAAATAGGGCTGTTTGAAGGAGCATTTATTTATGCTTTCCTAGTAAAAGAGGACAAAATTCCCATTGAAACCTTTTATTTCTTCCCCTTCTTTCTGCTTGAGTGCAGGCATAAAGCTAAGGCTGCAACAGCCATCTTGTGGTCATGATGTGAAAACGTTCAGATTAATGACAGAGATACACGCTCTGGTGTCACAAGCCACCTAAACAGAATTATCAGTGGCATCCTCAAGATGTTTTGTATAGGAAAGAAGTCCTCATTCATTTCTAGCAGCCAAAGGGTTTCTAAGTGATAGAGTATGCCTTCTGTTAAAGAGATCAATCTGCATGACTCAATAATTTATACCCATTTGTGGACACAGAGGCTGGACAGGACTAAAGTTGATCAGAAACTGACTGGCTCAAGATTCTCTTAGAATCTATAAAAAGGAAAGTTTTGATTACCTGTTCTATAGGTCAGCTTTCCTGTTGCTGAGACAAATATTGGACGCCCGCAGCTAAAAGAGGAAAAGTTATTTTGGCTCACGGTTTCAGAGGATTCAGTCAATGGACAGCTGGTTTGCAGTCAGGAAGGGTGTGGCAGATCAAAGCTGCTCACTTCATGGTGTCTGGCAAACAGAGCACAGTGGAAGGCTGCAAAAGAGCAAGAGAGAGGTTCTCTAAGCACACACTTCCAGTGATCCACATGCTCCAACTAAATCCTACCTCCTGACAGCACAGGAGCAATAAATATCAGCAGATCAATCCATTGATGAGTATAGGTTCCCCAGATCAAATCATCTATCCAAGTTTCTCCATCTTGTCAAACTGCCAACTAAGATTAACTGGCACACCTGTTTAGAAAATTTATTCTTCATATGCAACATGCCTTAGAACAGCCCTTGGGATGATCACTGTCCAAAGGGGACACTTTAAAATTCCATTATTTTGGATTCAGCCCTTGAGGAGTCAGTTTTTTACTACTAGAGAGAAGAGTTGATGATGGGCACAGAGCCCAGCTCAATACATTTTAATGAACTCTGGATACAAGAAGAGAAGGTTTGTTACCGGGTTGTTTATTTAATTGTATCTTCTGTCTCATAGGCAAGGAGCCGAGACAACCTCTTTTTATGGCTGTCACCATGATTTCATTGAATTATCATACTTCCCCTTTCATAGTTGTTTGCAAAAAAAATCAGTTATACATTAAGGTGGTAAACAGGTGAACATTCTGCCATCTGCCTTTTACCTTGTGCTCAAGAACTAGAAAGGAACACAACCTGAGGGCGTGGATAAAAAAAATACTGAGAACAGAAGACAAACCACACTCCCTGGGGAACTTCCCCATAGGCAGGAAGAATTTCTGTAAAATGTGAAATAAGGAAGAGGAAATGTTGGGAGGAAAGAAGGGCTGAGAGATTAGAAGGTCTTCTGCATTTGGGGGAGCAGCAGTCTCCAGGGAGTTAATGAAAGCAGAAAAATTGAAGAGGCAACAGAGAATGTTAAGAAATATTACAGTAGACGTTCTAGAGGTATTTTGGTCTTGAGGATTTTCAGAAAATATCTGTCACTTCTAGATTATGTTTTCCTAAATACAACACCATCTGAAATTGTATTGCATGAGCTCATAATTATGTACCCAGATTTAATGCTCTGATACCTAGATAGATACACAAAATGGAAATTAATGGATCAGAGTATTAGTCAAGTATATATGTAAGGATAACCTCCAAAATTCTCACAATGAAATGCAGAAACTAATAGAAACATCAAAACGTGCCAGAAACCTAGAATGTCACAGTTAAAGGGAAGATATAGATTAACAAGTACATTGTACCAATAAAGAAGCTGAGCCAAAACAGGTTAATAGACTTGTCCAGGTTATTCCCAAGGCTGGCCCAAGTTTCACACCTTGTTACCCTGGGTCTTCTGCTTGCAATAGCTACACATCAGCCAGCAGTTGAAGGCTCAGGCTTGCTTTTTTGTATACCTCAGACCAATGGGAGCTACGCAAAACTATGAGTGATGCTGACTCCCAGAAGTAGGGAAGAAGTAAATCACAGAGAAAGCATAGTTGAACCTGGGTAATGACACCTGCCAACAGCAAGGAGAACATGCTCTCATCTGCCATGACACCAGAAAATGAAACTAAAATGAAAGACAAAGTTAGCTCTACAGGCTGTCATCCAACTCAGTCTCCCAGGGCATATAAGTGCAGACTGTACATTCTCAGGATGTGAACTACAATGCACAGGTACAGAGCAGACCTCTAACCATGATCCCTTTATACATCTCTAAATGCACAAAGCACTGGGGTCAATCAGGGTGCAAATTTAGCACCTGACTCCTAAAAAAGATAATGATAGGAAAGAAGGAGCTCCCAGTAATTACAATGAGTACACAGAGTACCCATCTCCATGTGCTTGTAGTTAAAATACCCACAGAAAGGACAAGTAAGAAGAAAAACTGAAGACCCACAAGTACTGAAACCATGCTATGCATTTGATAGTAAGATGAATAAAGAGAAGCCCTCTCATTCAAAAGGATGATGTTATGAAGCTATGAACTTCAACAAAAAGTAAGATCTCTCTATCACTGATGGCACTGGGAAAGCAGAGGTCTCCATTTCCTAGAGAGAGAGGTGTCTCCATTTGTCCAAACATGCAGGGAATTCCAATCACAGCTAAGGAGCACCCTCTGCTCACACTTTGCACCTGAAAAAATCACAATATCTTGCACGCAGATTTCTGCAGAGCTGCAAATACTATTATTCTCCATTTTCCAGTTGATTATTTGTAATCTTTTCCCATGTTTCAGGCACTCTGTTAGGTTGTTGAAAATGTTGGTGTGGTTCAGAGGATAGCCTGTGTAGACAGCTGCATTTAGATAGGTAAATTTAGACTTCTGTTCTTTGCAATATGGTGAACCAGATAACCTGAAGGCTTTCCAAGAACAAAATAGAATTATAGGCAAACACCCATTAAGATGCTTTGCAAAATACATTGCCAGGACCAGATGAATGAGGTACCTTTTTTTTGCCCCTTTAAGCCACTGACATATCCTATTTCTTGCCCTCCAATACTGACTTGTAGTAATACTAACCATCCAAGTTTACCTGGAACTGAGAAGTTTTTCTGGACACCACTTTTCATCACTAAACCCCAGATAGTCTTGGGCAAATGTATTGTTACTCCTATCCACTCTAGCTACAGTAAATCAATGAGTTCCCTCTTGCTTGTGGTTGGGGAAATACATTACCTATAAACAAATGACAAACTCATTGTCAGTTAATATTTCAACAGCAATAAGTTCATAAAATAATATGTGCAAAAGGGATGAAAGAATACAGCTAATATATCATGCAGTAGTAAAGACAGAGCTTTAGACTTTTGCTTCCAGCCATGATGGTAGAACAGGGATTGAATTTAACTTTCTGACTTAAACAGAGACTAGATAAAATAAATGATTTTGAGACATCACACATGGGACTGCACATGACTAGGATCCTTAATAGAAAGGAAGCAAAATAAAAGCTCAATCCTGCCCAGCTTCTGGCTGTGAGTCATTTTCTAGGCTAAGATGCAGAAAGGTGGCACCAACCTAAGCTGGGCTGCATTTATGGCTTAAGGAGACACAGGCTGGAGACACGGAGGCCAAGGAGACTTAACCTGAGAACTAGAGCACTGGAGAAGAGGTCGCTTCATGGGAACCAGCAAGCTTGGGAGAATCCACAGAAGTGACCCTTCCCTCCATCAATCCCCAAGGGAATCTGGATATGCACATGGAGGACAGGAAACTACTTGAGGTCATAGAAAGAAATACCAAGAAGCAGTAGGCTAAACAGCTCTCAGAACTCTCAGAAGCATGAGAATAAATTACATTCTCACCAGTTTCTGCCACAGACACTAAAATGTGAGAGACTTTAAAGAATGGAGTCTTCAGAAAGGTTTCACCTTAGCAGTAGTACCAATATAGAGTGATTCTCAATAGAGTCCACAGACCCAACAATGTAGAAGAAAGCCTACATAAAAGTAATGCTGAAAGACGTGTAAAATGTAAAATCATAGCCTCAGGGGGTAAAAATTCAATATTTTTATTTAAAAAGATAACAGGGTCAAATAGAATTTCTAGTTTTAGTTTTGTGAGAAATCTCCATACTGATTTCCACAGAGGTAAGCGTATCAAGAAATGGAGGGTGGGGAGGGAAAGGGGATGAAAACAGGAATGAGATGTGTTACATACAGGTCCAAACTCCACATGGGGAATGTAAACATTACATACTGCAAACATGGACTAACAAAAATGATAACTGATTAAGATAAAGTTTGTTTTTTTCTAAAAAAAGTGACCAGCTATTAAGGAATATATCCAAAAATACTCTGGTAAAAATAAGTGCAAATGATGCTTGTACAAAGTTAATCATTTGAACTGGACTATATATTACAAGGACCTGCATGCTAGTTACTTTTCTGTCCTTGCTGAGACCAAATACCCAGCATCTAAAAGCTAAAGGGGAAGGGGTTTATTTGGCTTACAGTTTCTAGAGGTTTCAGTTCATAATGGGCTGGCTTCCAGGCAGGGATGGAAAGCAGACATCTCAGAAGAGAAACAGCATGGCACGCACTAGGTAACAAAGAAAACAAGAATATTTAATAGCATCCTCCTGCCCCTTTTATGTTATCCAGACTACCAGGATTAGGGTGGTGCCAAAGTAATCACTCACATATAGTGCTTTAGCTATCACATTCCCTTAACCCCAGCATCACACATTCCAGATTGAATTACCTCTGAAAAAGAAAGCCCTACCTCATCCTCATGAGGCTTTGGGGAGATACCTAAACACCAACTTTAACAACCTGTTAGAGCCTCAGCTATTTAGTTTAAGGCCTGGGACAGAGGTCAATGTAATTATCACAACTGAATGTTTACAATGTGCCAATCGAGTATCACATGGATCGTCTCATTTAAGATGAAAAAGAACAAAATCAAACATAGATAAGAGAAAGGAGGGAGATCTTTTTCAAATGAGGAGACCAAGAGAGTGAGGGTGGGGGAAGAGGGTAATGGAGATGGGAAAACATTGAAGAAAAAAATGGAAATAGAACTTTTGCAAGTCACAACGGGGCCAAGAGTTGGAAAGTGCAAGGAAGGATGGGAGGAAGAGGGGTGAAAAAGAACTGAGATGTGTTATGTACGTGTACCAGCTCCCCACAGGGAACATAACCATTGTGTACCACAAACATGTAATAATAAAAATATTGTAAAGTTATATAATTCAGTGGCAAAACACACACACAGAGTGAGATGTACACACAGCATTATCCACATTTAGGAAGACAATGCTTAGAGATGTAAAAGCGTCTTCTTGAGATTTCACATATAGTCAATGAAACATAGGCTTTCTGATTCTAGAGCTATACTTTTTATTTTACTTTTATGTGTAGGTCTGGATTGCATAAGGGTTACATTCATTGTAAGTAGGTGCATGTACACAACACACCTTAATTCTTTTTATTCCACTTTCCCTCCAGTCCATTCCCACTCCCTCCATATCTTGGTCCTCTTCCCATTTACAGAAGGTCTACCTCCCTGTTTTCTATTGTCTGTCTTTTATTTTACCCTTTAAATTAGTCAGACTTTGGGTTTCTCAGACAAGAGAAGTCATGTGACATTTAAACTGTGCGTCTGATTTATTTATCTTAGCACTGTGGTTTTGGGTGCATGTATTTTCCTATAAATGACTCAAAATTATCCTTCTTTATGACAGAGTAGTACTCCACTATTATAAGTACATTTCCTTTTTTAAATTTTAGTTTATTAGTGCATGTGTGCAGTACACAATGATTACATTCCTTGTGTGGAGTTGCTATATGGAAATGATACATCTTCATTTTCATTCCTTTTCTCATCCCCTTTCCCTTCAGTGCTTGCTTTTCCCTATCTTTCTTTCTTTCTTTCTTTCATTTTTTTCTTCCTTTCACACTCTCTCTCCCTCTCTCTCTCTTTCTTTCTTTCTTTTTTCTTTTGGTACTGGGGATCAAACTTGGGACCATGTGCTTGTGAAGCAGGCAGTAGAACCACTGAGCTAAATTCCTTGGCCCTCTTCAGTCCTTTCTTAACAACTATGCCACACTTAACTCCTCCAGAAGAGCAGCACTGATCTAAGCCATGCATTGCGTGCATCCCACCCTCTGCCTCAGGTGATGACTGCTGGCTTTCCAGGAGCGGGGATGTGGCTGAGGAGAAAACTTGCTGACATCTGGGTATACTGCGGTGTCCACAAAGAATGAGGGCAAAGGAGGGAGATAAAACCCTAAGGAGAATGCAAACATAAGTCTTCCTAGCTCCTTCCTCAAGAGTCAGCATCTGTCAGGAAGCCAAATCAAACACTTCCAGGTTCTGTGTGGCTCTCAATCTATTTCTTTGTAAGAAGTGAGAATGAAGGGCCGTTGCCTGCCACCCACCCATAGGCCCACCCCTTTGACCCAGCACCGCAAAGGAGCCCAGCTGCATGGGTGCAATACAGCGGTGTTTGTGCCCCACTCCTGGAACAAGAGAAAGAGGGCTTCTCTAAGGCTTCTGGATGAAAATTAAAGCCCACTGGAAAAGCGAAGAAAATTTGTGATAATGGCACACCACACCACCACAGTTGGTAAGTCAGAGGGATCGGCACCTCATATCAGAACCTGGTCTATCTTCAGGGGAAAGACAGCTGGAACCTGCAATAGAACCTTGCAGAGTTCATCCTAGCAGGAGGTCAGAGATCTGAACTTGGGCCTTGTAGCCAGAAATCGGCCTGAACCTCAGGGGACAGCTGCTGGCTTTCTGAGACTAATTAACTTAGATCTGCACATTCCTGACCATGCTGTTTATTGTGTCAACATGGGCATACCCTGAAGGAGACCCGCTACCTCTATTTGTAGTTTTTATTTTCAAAGTAATACTTTTCACTTCTCTTTAATCATTTAAAAATATTTTTATCTTTTTCTTTTCTCAAAAATTTCCCCTTTGTTAATCTTTTTATCTTCTTCTCTCCCTCCCTCTCTCTCTCCCCCCCTCTCCTACCTTGATCTCCATTACTCTCCCTTTTTGTTCCTGTTCCTATCCTAATTTGAATTTATTCTTTCTTTTCCCTTTCTTTTATTTTTCCTATTCTCAATTGCCATTGTTTTTTTTTTTTTTTTTATTGAGTTTATTGGTACATTTAGGGATACAGTACATTTACATTCATTGTTGGGATCATGTACCTTTACATGGCAAGTCTTGATTCTCATTTTTTTCCCCTTACCTCTGCCCTCCCTTCACCCCCTCCTCCCCTCCCCATCTACAAACACTTTATTTTCATCTTTTCATTCTCTCACATTTTTTTCTTTTCCCTTTTTGTTCTTCCCCTACGTATCACACCTTCCCTACACCTTTAGCTCCTTTCCTCCCATTTCTAAATGTCAGTAATCTTATTAGAATCTTATGCATTGTTGCAGAATATTCACACCAGGGAAACTATTTGGTATTTACACATGTGGGACTTATTTATTTCACTTAGGAGTATATCTTCAATATGTATCCATTTTCCTATGAATGAATCTATTCTCTCGCTCTTTATGGCTGAGTAATATTCCATTTTATAGAAAAACCACAACTTCTTTATCCAGTTTCCAACGGATGGGCAAATAGGTTGTTTCCAAGATTTAGCTATTACAAACTGTGCCGCTATAAACATGGGTGCACATACTTCTCTGTGATATGATTCTTTTAGTTCTCTTGGAAAGATACCCAACAGAGGGATGGCTGGGTCAAATGGAACCTCCAGTCCAAGCTCTTTGAGGTATCTCCATATTGATTTCCATAGTGGTTGCACTAGTCTGCACTCCCACCAACAATGGAGGAGGGTTCCTTTCTCCCCACAACCCCGCCAACATTTGTTATTGTGTGATTTCTTGATAGCAGCCATTCTTTGTGGGGTGAGGTGGAATCTCAGTGTTGTTTTCATCTGCATCTCTCGAATGACCAGTGATGTGGAACATTTTTTCATATATTTTCTTGCTGCTTTCACTTCTTTGTATGAGAAATGTCTGTTCATTTCGGATGCCCATTTTTGGATCGGGTCTTTATATTTGGGGGGACTGATTGTTTTGAGTTCTTTATATATCCTTGATAATAGTCCTTTGTCTGAGGTACAGCTGGTAAAAATTTTTTCCCACATTGTAGATTGTCTCTTAGTTCTGCTAATGGTTTCTTTTGAAGTACAGAAGCTTTTTAGTAAGATTGCCATTGGTTTTAAAATGAAGTGATTACAGTCTCTAGCCTCCTTATTGCTGTTAGTTTGTTCTATTCTTGGGAATATTTTGTTCTGTCTTCTGCTCTTCTCTTTAACAGCTGCCTAGTGTTTGTGTGATCTTCCTGTATCCTCTGACCTCACTTCTAACCTTTCTCTATCCTATCTATCCCGCTCTCCCCTACTCCTTCTAAATATCCAAGCTGAAGAGTAAAGTTGTTATATTGAAGAACTTATTCACTGTAAACATATTTGGGGCTGGTCCTTGATTTTTTTTTTATTCACATGGTTAAAGGTGATAGATTAATAACTACCACAAATTGTTATTTTCTAAGTTATGCTTGATGTTATTATGTTGCTGATTGCATCACTTGGGCTAAGGTGTTGTGATTGATCTTATTTGTTGTCCGCCCTGGTATAATGAAAAAGAGTTTGCCTCAGAGACATAAGAAACTCAAAACCTAAAGACCAGTTATATCAGGAAGATTGAAGCATTAATCCAGGAATTAAACCAAGGATGGTACCAATGACAAAAATAGAAATGAAAAGGCATTTAAACAAGACACAACACAGACTTCCACCCCACCAAAGGTAAACTCTGGAGGAAATAGGTGGAAAAGACTAACAATCAACCATCTGGTCACCCTGAACCAATGGCACAGGAAGTAAAAAAACAGATAAATGAGGTTCTAGAAGAATTCAAAACAGAAATAATTTCCCAAATCTCTCTGGTTACAGAGATAGTGAGGAGAATGAAAGGCATGATTAGAGACTCTAGAACAGAAACAGATTAAAAAAAAAAAAAAAGATGAGCTCAGGACCATGATGGAAATCATAAATGCCCAGCAAAAGAAAAACATGGAAACCTTGAATGCCCAACATAGGAAAGAAATGGAATCCATGAAAGATTCAAATAGATATCCAGATTAAAAAAGCTACAGAAAGCATTTGCAGCAGGATGAATGAATGTGAATATAGAATTTCAGATACAGAAGATAGGATTGCAGTCAGTGACCATGAAAAGAGAGATATCTTTAAAAAAGTAAGGGACCATGAAAAAATCAATCCAACAACTCTTTGATAATGCAGAGAAGAATAATATAAGACTGATAGGAATCTATGAAGTGCAGGAAAAAGTAAAAATGACATAAAAAACTGTTCATAGAATTAATGACAAAACTTCCCAAAGAGAGAAGAATTTGACATATAGCTAAATGAGGTATATAGGACTACAACTACCATGAGCAAAAAAATCTACACATAGACATATAATAATCAAGATCTCAGAAACCCAACAGAAGAACAAAATACTATAAGCAGTTAGAGAAAAGAAACAAATCACATGCAA